GCCCGCAGACGGTCTGTGAAGGACAAGTCACCCGGCGCGGCGATCAGCACGTCGTCTAGAAACGGCTGCAGAGTACCTGCAGAGCCTTGTTTAGCGTCCATTTATAGTCAGCACAAATGCGCAAGTCCCCGTTGGGCTTCACCGGGGTGACTATGGGGGCTCCCACCGTGCCGAAGCGACTGGTTCCAGGACCCCTTGTTCCACTAAGCGATCTAGCTCGGCCTCAATTTTTGTCTTCATTGCTAGGGGTGGCATCCGGGTCTAGATCCAGGGAGATGGGGGGGGTCCCCCAGAGAAACGTCCCAGTGTGCCATCAAAAACGCGGGGAAATTCCACACACACTGCGCCAAAATCCCGTGACCTGACCTGATGGATTCCATTCAGAGACAGACCCAGGGCCTCGAACCACGAGAGTCCTAGCAGGCTGGAGAGAGGCCTATTCACCACCAGCAGGTCTAGGGTGCCATTAAAGTCTTGGAACTGTACCCGGAACTTGCCCCAGCCTAGCACCGCCATGGGATTCTTATTAAAGTCCCTTAACCGGAAACCCCACGACTTCTGCAAGGGCGAGCCCCCATTTGGACACAGCGTGCGGAGCATATCCGCGGAGATAATGGAGTAGGTCGACCCTGTGTCGATCTCCATGCTGCAGGGGGATCCCTCTATGAGGACCATGACATGCATCTTGTTGGGGCCATCGGGGGGCAAGTTACAGACCTGGGGTTGCGGGAAGTGGCCCGATATGGAGTGGAGGTCGCTGGACGGCTTCGGCGTGGTCTGGTACGCAGACGACTTCTGGTGTTGTCCTTTGGAGCGGCAAACCCAGGAGATGTGCCCCAATTTGTTGCAGGTCCAGCAGACTGCGTTTCGGAAGCGGCACGACCGGTGCTCGTGGCCCTCACCACAGCTGGCGCACGGGACAGAGGCGGTCGAAGAGGCTTTGCTTGCGTTGGTGGACGGCTGAGACGACCGACGATGGACCTGGTGCACTTCGTCCTCGTCCGAGGCGTCGGGGTCGGAGGTCGCTTGCGTGCAATGGACCGCCTTGGCGCGGCGGTCTTGTTGTGCCTTTTAGTATGCAGCGGTCTCCCGGATTGCCTTCTCCAGGTCCAGCTCATCCTGGCTTACCAGCTTCCTCTGGTGCTTCGGCTCTCGGAGTCCCACAAGGAACTGGTTGAGGAGAGTTTCAGCTAGGTTGGAGAAGGAGCACCTGGTTGCACTCTGCCGCAAAGCCGCCAGGAAATCTGAGGCGGTCTCGTTGGGACCCTGGACCTTCACAAAAAAGTCCAGGCACTCCACAAACTTCGTAGGTTTGGGAGCCAGATGCTCAGTCAGCGCCTTGACCAAGGAGCTGTACGACTCGTCTTCGGTCAGCTTGGGCGCTATTAAGTCCTTAAGCAGGAGATGGGTCTCCATCCCACAGTGGCGCAGCAGGTACGCCTTTTTTATATCTGGATCCACCACTTTGTGGATGGTGAAGTGGCTCTCGAGAGTTTCCAGCCAGGTCTCCCACTGTGAGGGTTGGGAGATGTCGAAGACTGGGACACTCTCTGATGCGGCAGCCATCTTACGGGTTCCACATGGAAACGAGCAGCGTAGATGGCAGAGCGGTGCGGTGCTGCTCTCGGGGCCAGCAGGGCGATGCTCAGCGTTGCGTAGAGGTGGAGCAGTGCGATGCTCGGAGCTTGGGAGCGGTGCGGTGAGCGGCGCTTCTCAAAGATGCTCGATCCTGGCGGCGGTGGCAAATTCGGCGCGGTGGCTCACGGCGATGTCCTGAACGTGGTCTCTGTTCCGAGGGAGATGGATTCCACCTTCATCGCCAGTGAAAAGTATGCAAATGGAGAGTGAGTCCAGCAAAGCCTACTTTATTCTATCCGGAACAAGACGACTTTGGTCGGCTCCGGCTTATATCCCCGGAGAAACCGCCACCCAAAACACACCCCTACTTCCCTATAGGTTATTTACAGTGGCCGAGAGTCCCATAGGCTCTCCGCAGGGAACCTAGCTCCCTGATTGGAGCGGGCTAGGATCCTACATAGGTGGAAATCTACCTTCAAGAAGTGGACAAAAAGATGCAGTTTTTGGATCTGCACCTGGATCATTCCAGCCCACCTGGATTGTTCCAGCGCCCCCCAGCGGCGGTATTGCCCAATTTGGGAATCAGTGCCATAGAGTCTATCCTCCAAAGCAGTAATTTTCTCCAGGGGGACAGATTGTGTCTAGAGTTGAACTGTAATTCTGGAAGATCTCTAGGCCAAGGCCTGGAAACAATCTATGAGTGACTTGATACCAAATGACTTGTATGACCCAACTAGGCCTGGCTGCCTGCAACAGCAATTTCCCTATGAGTGTATGAGTGTGGTGTAGCTGTTAGAGCTTCAGAGTAGGTTCTGGGAGACCCGGGTTCCAATTCTCCTACTGCTTTGGAAGCTGATTTTGGATCCGTAACATACTTTCAGCGTAACCTACCTCACAGGGTTGTTGTGTGGATAAAAAGGAGGATAGGAGAATAATGTAAGCGACTTTGGTCCCCATTGTGGAGAAAGGTGGAGTATAAATGAAGTAAATAAATAATAAACATAGCTGAAGATGGGATGCAGATAAAAGGTAGGTTAGTGAATGGCTGAGAAGGAGAGAATGAGGCAGGGAAAGGGGAGAGGATATGGGGTGTCAGGAGGCGGGAAAGAGGAAATAGTGTGGGGAGGGGGATACAGGGGGCAGTGAGGTGCCACACCACAAATATTTAAGGGTTCCTACCATGCAAGTGGGCCTGGCCCAGTGGCCTGCAGCAGACAACTGGGCCACAGTTTTTCTAGGCAGAGGCTGCTGGGGGCAGGGGAAGATTAGAACAGAAGGGCAGGTAAAGGTAGGTTGGCTGTTGGGTGGGAACAAGATAGGGCTGCCAACTCCAGGTTAGGAAATCTCTAGAGATCTGAGGTGGAGTGGAGCCAGGGGGTAGTGGGGTTTGAAGAGGGAAGGGACTCCACCCTCCAAAGCAGTCATTTCCTCCATGGGATTCGGGGTTGCCAAGCTCCAGGTGGGAGCTCGAGATCACCTGGAATTACAACTGCTGTCCAGATGACAGAGATCAGTTCCTCTGGAGAAAATGGCAGCTTTGGAGGGTGGACTGTACAGCATTATACCCTACTGAGGTTGCTTCCCACTCCAAACCTCACCCTCCTGAGACTACACCCCGAAATCTCCATGAATTTCTCAGCCTGGAGCTGGCAACCTAATGGTGGGACTAATCTCTGTAGTTGGGAAACCTGTTGTGATTCCAGGACATCTCCAGGACGTACCTGGAGGTTGGCAACCCTGTAATGGGATAAGGAAGCAGGAAAAGGGGAGGAGAGGCTATGGAGTTTTCAGGAAAGAAGAAATAGTGGGGGAGGAGGAAATGAGATGCCTCCTGGCAAGTCTTTGCAGGTTCCCACTTGTAGGTTTATAATCTCAAAGTCCAGCAAGAACAGAACAAGACACAAAAGGGAACATTCTGTTCATGGTTCCTGAACCCTTCTGCAGCATCAAGATAGGAGCAGTAACTGTGCAAGAGACATTGAAACACAAAAGCTCCCACAACCAACTTTGTTCATCATTTGGATAAGGTGGGAGGCACTAGAATGGCTGGGTTATTTGTACAAAGTTCTGAAATGCCAGAAAAGTGTGCCCTTGATATCACTTCCTGCAGAGATTGTGCCTCTCATATGCTCCCCTGCCCATTTACAATCCTGGTTGATGAACGTAAAAGATATTTGCTTGGGTCTGTGAAACCCAGCCCAGGAAAATAAGGTACACTCTAGGCCACATGGGATTGTTGGCAATAATCATAAACAAATGTCATAATGGGGCCAACAAACATACACACCTCATAACCAGGGGAATCCAGGGCACAGGATAACCTCCAGAATAGTTTCAGTGAAGAAACGGAAGTTTATGACCCTTTCTAAATTCCAAAGTCCTTTCTACATTGTACATAGATGAGAACACCCAGTTCCTTTTGGATAATTGGTTTATTAGGACATTTAAATTTCCCTATTTCAGGGCACAAGGCAATCAGCAGGGGAATGAGGAGTCAACCAGCAACAGATGATTCAGCAACTGCCCAACTACCCACTACCAAGGACCTTGTGCTGGGATAGGTGGTCTACTCAGCCCAGCCCTCAAATGCTCCACTACTGCAAACTGCACGCCATTCGCCTGATCTTTCACCCACTCACAGCACATGCTCAGTATCATCACATACAAACTCCAGGGACAGTGCTAGCAAGAAGTGCTGCGAGATCAGAGATCTCCATGCTGACCAAAAAAAAGAAATGCCGACCCGTACAACAAAAAAAACAGGACGGATGGAGCCACCTTCCTTATTAAGGCCAAAGGAGTGGTGGATTGGGCTGAACAAGCAGGAAACCCTCTCTCCGAGGCTCATACTTCTCTCCACAACACCCCTTCTCTCTCGGTTAATAGTGCACAGCACAATCCGACGCACGTTTACTCGGAAGGCAGCCCCGCGAGTCCGCGACGGATCTGCTTCCCAAGCACGGGCATCGCTGTGCAACTGTAACCTCAGTCCTACTGAGGGGCACTATAGTGGCTCTCCTGAAGGACCGTGAGCTGCCTAGGCTGACCTTGGCAAAATTACACAGCCGTCAAGAATGCGCCTCCAACTCTGCCGGGGGCGATAATGCAGATCTGCATCCAGGATACTCAGAGAGTCGAGATGTCCCTCCAAAGGACGCGGGCGGGGGGAGTGAAGCCTGCACGGCTCCTTGCCCAGAGTGAGCCCCAGGCAGGAGCGGAGCAGCCGAGCCACTCCGACACAGGAGCACCACGGAATGCCGCGTGGCCGTTGCCATGGAAACGCACGTTTTGCAACAGCAGCCCCTGGACGGTGAAGGAGGAGAGACCAAGCGGCCGTTGTCATAGAAATACCGAGGGAGGCGTCCCAACTGCCGACTTGGTCTCCTTGGCGACAGTTACAGGGGAGAAGGATCCTTACTCACCATCCGTCGCACCAGACGCGCACAGGTCGGGCGGCGGCGGCGGCTGCGTCACTGGAAGGCGAGGAGGCCCCAACAGACCCGTTCCGCAGCATCTTTAACAAGCAACTGAGCGCCGGACTCTTGGCTGCTGCCCTGACCCTCGAGCTGTCATTAAGTCAGAACCTTCCCCCGTCACCTGATCAGTGACGTACTGAAGGACACGCGATGCTGCCATCTTCGATGTGTCACGTGACAAAGGAAGCCCTGCCTTCCAGCCGATGTTTCGCCCCCTTGGAAATGAGTTTCCCTTTGCAGGTGGCCGGGAGCTGCTGGGGTGCTGAAAACGGCCTTGGATAAAGGCTTCGCCCCACACTCCCTTACCCGATGGCGAAGTGGGCCAAACCTGCAAGGCTGCGACTGCCTGCGTTAGTGCCTTCCAGGCCTAATGACAATGGCTCTTGACTGACACAGCGGCGTATTGCCTACTTGCTTTACCAAGTGGAAATCCCTGCGGAGCCGCCTGCTTCGGAGCACCCCGTGGGGGGGGGGGGGGTAGCAGCGAGGAGGAGCACGCACAAGCAGAATCCTCGCTTCACCCTGTGCTAGCTCCGTGCACAGTGCAGCCGGCAAGGAGGAGCATGACTGCCAGTGCTGTCCTGCTGGCTGCAGTGTGTGACTGGCCAGCAAAGAGCAGCATGGCAGCACCTCTCCCCAGCCCACCATTAGTGGGGGAGGGGGCTTTTCCAGATGCCTGTTGAGACAGGACCAGGCGAGGGGCAGAGGCCAAGCACTGCAGTGCCTGCTTCTAGCTACCAACTGCAGCATTCCCACTGCCGTGTCTTTGAGAGTGGGTCAGGAAAATGTTTGCAGGACCACTGGCTCACCTGGATTTTTCGTGGTGGCTGTAATTGCCAATCCCCTCCCCCACTGATGGAATTTACACCCATCATCAGTCTTCTTTTCCTGGACACTTGACTCTCCATCACTGAAACTGCCCATGTCATTATGAGCAGGCAGTACTTCCCTAACTAATCACGGTCTACAGGAATGTTTTTGAAGGTAAGGTTTGCTTTGTGGAGCAGATACAGGGCTGTGCCACGTCTCTACACAGTATCCTTCTCTACATTCTAAGCTTTTCTGTTTCCAGCATTAGTGGCATACAGAACCACAAACGAGGATCCACAGCTCAGCAGATATTCATTATGACAGTACTATTCATCATATCGGCACCACCACCTATTGTAGAAATAACAACTCTTTACACTTGTTACACCAGCGAAATGCTGGCCAGGATGAATCACAAGCGGGAATTAAGATTGCTGGGGAAAAGATCAACAACCTCAGATATGCAGACGATACCACTCTAATGGCAGAAAGTGAAGAGGACCTTAAGAGCCTCTTGCTCAGGATGAAAGAGTGGGCTTGAAGCTCAACATCAAAAAAACTAAGATCATGGCATCCGGCCTCATCACTCCTTGGCAAATAGAAGGGGAAGTCGTGGAAGTAGTGACAGACTTCACGTTCCTGGAATCCCAGATCACCGCAGACAGTGACAGCAGCCATGAAATTTAAAGACGCCTGCTCCTTGGGAGGAAAGCGATGGCGAACCTAAACAGCATGATAAAAAGTAGAGGCATCATCACCCTGCCAACAAAAGTCCGCATGGTCAAAGCAATGGTATTCCCAGTAGTCATGTATGGCAGCGAGAGTTGGACTATAAGGAAGGCCGAGTGGCGAAGAATAGATTCTTTTGAACTATGGTGCTGGAGAAGACTCTTGAGAGTCCCTTGGACTGCAAGAAGATCAAATCAGTCAATCCTAAAAGTAATCAACCCTGACTGTTCCTTGGAAGGCCAGATAATGAAACTGAAGCTCAAATACTTTGGCCACCAAATGAGAAGGGAGCACTCACTGGAGAAGACCCTGATGCTCGGAAAGATTGAAGGTCAAAGAAGATGGGGATGGCAAAGTATGAGATGCAACGAACATGAAATAGAGCAAACTTCAGAGGACGGCGGAAGACAGGAAGGCCTGGCGTGATCTCGTCCATGGGGTTGCAAAGAGTCGGACTCGACTGTGCGACTGAACAACAACAACACTTGTGTATTGGCACCAATTTCAATTTTTTTAAGAAGGTGACTACAGTAAATAGTTTGGAAACTGATAACCATAACAGAACCTTTTAATATGCACCAAAACAAATCATTTTGAAAATATGGCCAAAAAGTTGTGTTAAGTGTGTGCACGCTACAGAAATTGCATGTCTGTTCCACACAAAAGCAAAAAACCTGTAATAAGTCAACTAGAAAAAATGCAGCCTTCATGGGGGAAAAAATCACCAGAACAGTGGAATGATACATCACCTGGAAGTTCCATTAGAGATACAAGCTGAACCTGGCAAGAAAGAGGCTCTCTGCATTAGTAGAAAGGCAGACCAGGGACTTCAGATCTCCCATCTTGGATGGGGTTATACTTCCCTTCAAAAGCCAGGATTGCAGCTTGGGAGTACTTATTGACACAGCAGTCACATTAGAAAGCCAGATAGCTGCTGTGACTTGGAGTGCATTTGCCCAGCTCTGGCTGGTATGTCAGCTGCGACCATTCCTGGTTCAGTCAGATCTAGCCACAGTGATCCATGCCTTAGTTACATTTACTACGGCAACGTGCTCTACTTGGAACCCTTGAAGAGTGTTCAGAAGCTGCAGCTAGTGCAGAATTCCATGTTTAGACTGTTGGTCTATTAGTGCCAGCTATAGAAAGCATATGTCCCCAATATTACAGCCATTACATTGGCTACCGATCTGCTCCTGAGCCCAATTCAAGGTGTTGATTTTGTCCTTTAAAAACTCTAGATGGCTTAGGACCATGGTATCTGAATTGTCTTCTCTCACACATGTGTGAATTAAGATCGCAGGGAGATGCCCTCCTGACTGTCCCATTGAATCCAAAAGCTTGTTTGGTAGGTACACAAAAGGGCCTTTTCCATGGCAGCCCCACAATTATGGAGAAACCTCTCTACAAAGGTGTGTGCCTGGCACATTCATTGTCGATCTTCAGGAGGCAGTTGGAGAGAGTTTTATTTCGAACTGCATTTGATTAAGCTTTTATTATTGGCAGTTCTAATTGGAGTTTTTAATTGTGACTTTAAATGGGTTTTATAATTGTTATTGTGTTTTTATGATGTCATATTTGTATTATAAGCCACCTTGAGAAAGGCGGCTAATAAATGTTTTAAATAAATGTAAAAATGATGTTAATTATATGCTACATTTTACTAGTGTGGAGCCACCACAAGAACCATCTAAAAACATCATTTTATTTGCATAAAAGCAACTGGTGAAATGTTTCTAGCCCAGCTGCAAAATATCCCCCCTTCTGCAGGTATGTGTACACACACACAATTCTCACTCTGGTACAGATTCACATCTTCCACAACATGAACTGATACGCTTGCTTCAGCTCCAATACAGCCAGGCTCAGCAGGCATAGATACATAATAATGGGTGGAGATTCAACCTCTGCACTAAATGAAAAGTCAGCCTTCCAAGAAACAGCCATTTATTGTTTTATTGTAATTTAAGAATTGGCAGCCCTGAGTATCAAACGCCAGCTTCCTCTTACACAGTAGGAACCAAGGTAGGCTTTCACCTACATCATGTTCATAAAGTGAGAAAATTATATAAAACATATATGAAAATAGCAGCTGCTTTTCCAGTTAACCCAGCAATCCTGATCATATTGAGTGCAGAGGACATTTTTTTGTCCTGACGTTAGTAACTTCAGTTGGACCCCAAGGTTAAAAAGTCTAGTGTCCTCTTTGGGCAGGGCCATAATCAAGAGGCTTTTTTTCTCTTTGTGCCTTTTGCACAGCCCCTGCCAAACCAGCCACCAGAGAAGGGAGCTGCAGGCACCTGCTGCTGCTCCCCTAGCTGCACCTCATGAAGACTTGCTGGTGGGGCCACAGGTTTCCGGCTATGGCTGCTGCTTTCTTCAGGTCGCAATGGAGTAGCCAAAGAGAAGATCGGATCCTTTGTTCTAAGGACAGAGAGAAAGAATATGCCATCTTTAATACACAACACTGCCAGAGAATTTCACACTCACTGCCTTAAGTCCAAGCATCAAGTTAAAAACCCCAGTGTTTAGAATCACCATGTGTAACACACCACAGCAAAGCAGGCCTTGGAACAATTACATCATAAAACACCTTATGGGCCAAGTGTTCCAAAGGATTATCTTTAATTACAGGCATATGACATTGTGTAAGCATACACAGTAAGCCTAACCACCTGAGAGGGTGGTAAAATAACTGGTAATGATTGCCGAAGTGAAAAAGTCATGTACGAAGTTACAACCCTTAACAAGCTCAACATTTTGCTCACCTGTCATAGCAAGGGATGGGAAGTCCCAGCTCGTCCATCAAAAGCTTCATCACGTCATCACATTTCCCATGAAGCTTCAGGGCTGCTAGATCATCCTTTGGTGTCCACTGTGGACAGAAGAAACAATCCAGTCATGGAAGTGAACAACTGACTTACCACTGCTACCAAGTCAGAATCATGTGGGCTGTAAAAGGACAGGACAAAGAAACAGCAATCCAGTCATGTTTCATAATTCATGAAGCACAAAGAGTGTTCTCAATCACACACTAACATGACTCACTGTATAATTAGTTTCATTAGGTAACCACTTAAGACTGTTTGGAGGAGGAAAAAAGTCCTTAAGCAGCTCATAGATATAAATACAAAGTCATCAGCAGAAAAAACAACAACTAGTGGCTCCCCAGGGTGGGGGTACCTGTGCAAAATAGTAGCAGTCCTGCACAGATCCCATTGACACTGTGGTAACAGCCTTACAAGCTTATGAATCATACAAACAAAGCAGTCAGACTAACAGTCCATTTAGCCTAAGGCTGTCTAGTTTGAAAGCAGTTATCCAAAGTCTCAACGGAATTTTTTCCACTTCTGCTGCCTGAGATTCCTTTCTGTTAAAACTCAAGTGCCAAGGGTTGATCTGAGGCCTTTCTATATGCAAGATACTGCTCTACCACTGAGATATGTCCTGATAATCCTATGAAAGCAACTAAAATCATGGCATTTGAAATCGAAGAAATAAACTATAGGGCTCAAACTCACCTGAAGATTTACAATGTAAAGCTTAGGGCGGCGTCTGGGTGGCTTGCTCATGCACCATAAGTGTGGATATTTTTTCAACACCTGTTGAAGTAAGGAAAATGCAACCAAAACATTTCAGCGCTAGGAACAAGTAGGGTTTAGGCTGTCAGATACCTGAAAACAATTTTTAATAATCTGTCAACTCCAAACGCCAGTTGCAGTCATCAGAAAGGGGGATGAGTAGGGACAATCTAAGGGACAAGTTATGGACATCATAGAGACTTCTGCAGGATTCATCTGTGAACAGAATTCCTGTAGAATGCAAATGACCAGGACCCATACAGAAGCAAAAAACAGATGGCCATCAGCAGTGGGCAAACCACTGTCTACAGATGGAACACTTCCTACTGGGATCCTTGCAAAGAACAGTGAAACAGATGAGGACTTCAATCTGATCTAGCACAGCTTCTCTCATATTCTTACACAAAAGTGCGTACTCAGCATCACCAGATACAGATTACTTATACTTTAATTACCAAGAGCTTGGTGCTTGGGGGGGGGGGGGTCAACAGTGGGGGGGCTTCTAGTGTCCTGGCCCCACTGGTGGACCTCCTGATGGCACTTGGTATTTCTGGCCACTGTGTGATACAGAGTGTTGGACTGGATGGGCCTTTGGCCTGATCCAACATTGGCGTCTCTTGTGTTCTTAAGAGATCCTGAGAAAAGACCTCTTGATTCCTAAATGCTAACATACAATCAGTGGACTACAGGGATTCTGTTTAAAAAGCAGACCATGCAAGATGGGTCAGCCCTCCCATGGTCTAGGTAAAGAAAACACTGCAGTACAAATATCAATAATTGCCTCTTCTATAATTAAAGTCCTTCCTGGATGGGCAAAAAGTCTGTTCAGCAAAACGTTTCATCAGCGCACATTCAAGCACTAAGTGATCTCCTGCACCCACTTAAACATTAAGAGAGTATAAAACCTCAATGAAATTAAAGGAGCACTCAGTATGCTTCTCTACAATGGTCAAAGAACTACTGTCGTTCCTACACTATCAGGCCATATGCTCAACCCCTCCTCACATGAAGCTTCATTTACATGGAAGGCAAAGACCAACCCGACAAGACAAGTTAATTTATTTTCAAACCTCTTCTTGAATCACACACATTATGTAGCCATAAATCATTTTGTGGTTTGTGAGTCTCATATATTGTTTATTGCTTTTATTCTAGCTGTAAAGAAAATGACAAATTGAGACAATTGTGCTTCCTGAAAATTAGGTTTCCTTTCCACTTGTTTTTCCTCCCAAGCCAATGGGCTTGCCTTCTTGATCTTAACCACAAATTTTCAATATGGCTGTTTTCACCAACCCTCATCCTGATTTATATACCCATTGATCTAGGAAACAGATTCTCAGCATAGAAGTCTATTGGTACAATCCTTGAATATCCCATGTTTGTATTGGTGGGAGGAGGAGAATTAATACAGGTAGTTGTGTATGTTTCACTACAAAACCTTGAAAGCTATAAACCGAAATCTCAAAAAGCTGATCTCAACTGCTTTCAGAAGTCCTTCTCCCTTCTAAGATCACTCTAGAAAGACTTCACACAAGCACATTAAACAGTGTAACGCCTACTTGCAGCGGCTTTCAGCAAACAGGAGAGCCACTAAAGATGTTCCCTCAATGGTTACCTTTAAGCTGGATCCCAAGCAAAGGATCACATCTGCTTTGCTTGCAGCCTCTATTGCTGCCTCCCAGTTCAAGGGCTGCTGCAAGATGCCTTTCTCCCCAAAGTGTACAATGGTATCTCTCAACTGTGCCCCACACTTGTGACACATCCTGCCAGTATGGTGCCTGTGCAGGGCTGTACGTTCCGTCACATCAAAGACTCGCACATATTCACGATTGGGTATGCAGGATGTGCAGACCTAGCAAAGGATGGAAGGAAAGATGCCTGGTTAGTAATCTGGAGATGCTATGGTGCACTAAGATCCTGCCCTCTGCAAGTGCTCACCTCTATGTACATGTTTCCATGCAGCTCAGAAAGGGCTTCCTGAGGCAGGCCACTACGCAGGTGGAGCCCATCACAATTCTGTGACACCACATGATGCACCTAAAAGGAAAGGAAGCAGAGCTACTAATAAGAGTTCAAAGGCAAGAGACTCCCCTTTCCATTAGCAATATTCCCTTTCCATTACCAACACTCAAGGCCTGTACCTGAATCATGGAAAGACAGGACTGGCTATCCAACTCACAGCTCTTGACAAGGCGGCATTAACACCAATGGCAACAGTGAAGTGTCTGGGTGTGACTTTGAATGCCTCGCTTTCAATGGAGGCCCAAATCACGAATGTTGCCAGATCAGCATTTTTCCACCTTTGTCAGGTCAGGCAACTGGCTCCTTACCTCTCTTCCCGTGACTTAGCTACAGTGATCCATGCAACGGTCACCTCTAGATTGGACTGCTGTAACTCACTTTAAGCAGGGATACCTTTGAGATTGACCCGGAAATTGCAACTGGTCCAGAATACAGCAGCACATATCCTTACAGGAAAGCCATTAAAAGCCCATATACAACCGGTGCTCCGCCAGCTGCACTGGCTCCCAGTTGAATGCCCGATCAAATTCAAGGGTTTGGTTTTGACCTTCAAAGCCCTATGTGGTCTGGGACCAACATATCTTCAGGACTGTCTCTCCTGGTAGGTCCTTCAAAGAGCCATGCGCTCTACGGATCAACATCATCTAGTGATCCCCGGTCTGAAAGATATCCGCTTAGCTTCAACCAGAGCCAGAGCCTTTTCAGCTCTAGCATTGGCCTAGTGGAACAGACTCCCAAGTAAGATGTATTATTTGCTTATTTATTTATTTGATTTATACCCCACCCTCCCCGCCAAGGCAGGCTATAGACAGTAAAACAATAAAAACAATTTAAACAAATTAAAATCATCAGATAATTTAAAATACAACATATATAAGATGGCGAAAGCTGTCCCATTGGCTACCATAGGGGAAAACAACAGCTGGTGTCTAGCTCTTCAGCGTTTAGTTCTTTAATATGGGCATAGGTGTTAAGTAGGCGGCCACCAAAGTAAATTGTAAGGCAAAGATTTCTCAGCTTGATGGTAGGCCGTTAAATGTGGCATCTCACTTAAACACTTGATGGAAGAGCTCTGTCTTGCAGGCCCTGTGGAATTTTAAAAAATCCTGCAAGGCCCTGATGTAAAAGGCCAACTTGGCAGAGGCTGCTACCTGGGCCTCCATCGTTAAGGAGGCATCCAGGAGCACTCCCAACCTCCTAACCTCCAACGCTGGCACCAATAGTGCCCCATCAAAGGTCGGGAGTGGGATCTCTAACCTTGGACCGCCCCGACGTAGACACAGGACCTCAGTTTTCGTTGGATTCAGTTTCAGTCGGCTCAGCCGAAGCCACCCAGCTATGGCTTGTAGTGCCAGGTCCAGATCTTCCGATTTAGAGTCAGACTGGCCACCCAACAGCAGATAGACCTGGGTGTCATCCACGTACTGGTGACATTGCAACCCATGCCTCTGGGCAACCTGGGCAAGGGGGCGCATTTAGATGTTAAATGTGGACAAGCTTTCTCACCACAAATCCTCTTGAAACATAAATGCTTTTCATGGGTAACAGCCAGCTATGCTCTTACAGCTGCCCTCTCCCTGAGACACAGGAATACAGAATTGACAAAGAAGAGCTCCTTACCAGTTTGTGCTTGTGCAAGCAGGCAATGCTCATATGCGTGAGCGTGGGCTCTGCCTCACTCAGATCTGTAGCTCTGACAAAGGGGAAGTACAATACGTATTGTTAGCCAATCCCACACAGCCTGGTTTAGCCTTCTCCTGTAAAGCTGGGGAAGTCTCCCAGATATGAGGAGAGTCTTTATGAACTGCCAGTGCCAGATTACCTGATACTCCTACCCTTCTGCAACATTGTCCACACCCCATTTGGGCCTCGGTAGTCAGGGATTGAAGCTGCCTATGTTACAAGGAGACACAAAATAAAAAGGAAACCAACTGAGTGGGTCTTCAAGAATGCATTAGCCTAGTCCATCAATATCCCTGGGCTGTCCACTTCCCACAGACCCTCAGTCTCCTGCTTATAGTCACTCTCATCAAAATTCTAACTCCTTCACGGTACATAGACCTAACAGCAAACTCACATCCCATGCTGAATGCTGCCCAGGAATAACCCCATAGCTGTTTCCTGGAACCCTGGACTTAAGCCAAGCAACACATGAGGAGGCTCACGTGACAAGCAGCTCAGCACTACATATTTGGAAGGTTCCCCTAATGAGATAATAATTTTCTATGAAGTGTTAAATTAGGTTAAGTCTAAGAAGACTGCCTCATCATAATAATCTAAACAAATCACCTATTAGTGCTTTTGTGAACAGCTGCATATCTTGCATACAATGAAGCTTTGTGAACAAATATCAAAAATGTATTGCATTTCATTGGCTTTTGCCACCTCTTTTTATTGCACCCCACACCCCCATACAGATTTGCATACCATTTCAGGACACCCTTCATGCATCTGATGTAGACTCTAATATGCCATAAAACCTTATGCCACAATTAATCTGATCTTTCATGTGACACAAAACTCTTTTTTACCACTGACAGAGCAACTCTTTGATGGAGGGGAGAAGGTGATGGCTGGCTCCGCTTTCTCCTTCCCTTGTTTGGTTGTGCAAGTAATCTGCCCTGTTCCTCCACACCCACACTGCCAGGGCTTGTTAAGTCTTCTGCTTTGCCCAAGAGGTGTCTGGTAACAGCTTCCTGCTTTCTGAAAATTTGGAGTGGGTTGAACAAGTGCTTCATGCCTTTCCAATTTTCCCTTCCTGCAGGGGCAGCTTTTGAGTGAGGAGCCTTCAACATTTCAAACTAGCAGAACCAAGATGTTTGGCACAAGAACAGCATATTGTGCCACACCTTAAAAAGGATATTATAGCTTTGGAAAAAGTGCAGAAAAGGGCAACTCGAATGATAAAAGGGTTGGAACACTTTCCCTATGAGGAAAGGTTAAAGAGCTTAGGGCTCTTTAGCTTGGAGAAAAGACGACTGAGGGGTGACATGATTGAGGTTTACAAGATTATGCATGGGAAAGAACAGGTAGAGAAAGAGGTACTTTTCTCCCTTTCTCACAATACAAGAACTCGTGGGCACTCCATGAAATTGCTGAGCGGTCGGGTTAGAGCGGATAAAAGGAAGTACTTCTTCACCCAAAGAGTGATTAACACATGGAATTCACTGCCACAGGAAGTGGCGGCGGCTACAAGCATGGACGGCTTCAAAAGGGAATTAGATAGGCATATGGAGCAGAGGTCCATCAGTGGCTATTAGCCACAAGGTATAGATAGGGGCTCTGAAGCAAGTGATGCTCTGTCTTCTTGGTGCTTGTGGGGGCCAACAGTGGGAGGGCTTCTAATGTCCTGGCCCCACTGGTGGACCTCCTGATGGCACCTGGTATTTTTGGCCACTGTGTGACAGAGTGTTGGACTAGATGGGCCTTTGGCCTGATCCAACATTGGCGTCTCTTATGTTCTTATGTGTAGGTCAGCTCAGTGACAGTTTCAGTTGGGACCATATAGAATGCTAACTGTTCCCTGGAAAGCAACAGGAACAGTGGCATATGCCCAACTGTTCTATTTCCCCCTCCCACTATAGCCTGCTGAGCCCTCCAAATTTTGTCCCAGGGAATCAACAGACTCTCTGGAACAGCATAGCAGAAACTGGTCGAAACTGCCACAGCCTCTTCTAGATATTTAAATGCCCATAAACCTTCAGAACTGTGCAGATAGATACCTCCCTGAGACATGAAGTCACAATTCATGTCCACTGCAATGACTTTGGGTACCACATAGTGGCTGTTATCTTGAATAGGTCTAACAAAACTTCCTTCAGACACACCCTCCATTTGATCCAGAGGATACCAAGCAATTCACCAGTGCACAGACACCACAGTCATAGTTCAAATTCCTTGCATTTACACTTGGAGTGCTTTCACAGGAGATGCTGAAATGAGTACTTGAATGCAATACACCTCCATCTCCAAAATGTAGGGTTGCGAATTTGATGCCATAGAGTTCTCATTCTGAAGCTGCCATTTCTCCGGTGGTCCTGGGAGTGGGGCAGTCCAGACAAGACTGACAGCACAAAAGCTGCTTGAGGACTGAGGAGTCAGCCAGTCCTGACTCCCTGAAGGAACAAGTTGACAGCTTGGGCTGCTGCTGGATCCAGGCCTATCACTGGAAGCTCCTCTGTGGCATGCAGTGCCTTTCATCAGCTTTAGCTGATATGCCAACTACAGCTGTTTGTCAAAAAGCATAACCTGGCCATGCTGGTGATCCATGCTCTGATTATATCTGGATTTCATTCTGAGGTGGTAAATTTAATGTATGGACTGACCACAAGCGATACAAGCCACAACAGGAACTTGTGAAATATGACCGTGGAAGAGCTCCCACAGAGTCTTACCGTACTGATGCCAGCTCCTGTATAGATGATAAGGTGTTTAGCGCCCCGCACAGCCAAAGAGAGCTTGCTCACTTTTTTCTTCAACTCTTCAGGTTCATCACAAACCTAAGAGCGGATGAACAAGAGATTAAAATGATTTCTGAGGCAGCATATTTTACAGCTTCAAACTGCTGACTAAGGCCCTGTTACCATACTGATAATTTTCTCAGATGACAAAAACAATCCCCTGCCTAATTCCAGAAGGGCATCCATGCTCATCTGCTGCAGTTCTCTTCCATCCTCCCTTTGCTTTGTCCTCAAGTCCCCTACAGGTTTTGTAAAAGAGGAAATATGGCAAGACGAATAGGTGAAGGAAGGAACATGATTTGCTATTTAAAAAAAGGATGGATGGTTATTGACAGAAAGGATTTAAAAAACAGCTTAACTGGTATTAAAAGGATTTACAAATGAACATATTTTTAATTCAAGTCAGATTTCTTCCAGCTATATGATATTACAGTCATAGCATGAGCTTGATCTTGTAACATCGTCAGTGTGGTGTAGCTGTCAGACTTTGGATCTACAAGACCCAGGTTCAAATCCCTCCTTTGTCACAGAAGCTCAATTGATGACCTTGCACTAGTCACTCTCTCTCAGCTCTACTTACCTCACAGGGTTGTTGTGAAGATAAAAAGGAGGAAATGGGAATGATGCTGCAAGGTGCTTTGGATCCCCATTGGGGAGAAAAGTAAAAAGTACCTAAAAATACACAAATAAAAACCTGGGAGCTGGACTACACATTAGACTCAGTATGCAACACTGGCCAGTAGTATCTGTTAAGAATTCTGCAAACAGTCATTTTGTTTTAACTAAAAAAATAATAATGCATTAGGGCAAAAAATTGTCCAGCCTTTGGGGAAAGAAGAGGATATGGGACATACACTTCATTTAGTCAGACTGGATTCCTGTTTTGACAGGTGCCCCACCCCTCTAGGGGGTTAGTCCCTCCTCCCTAAGGGCCATGTTTCAAGGTGGTGGCAAGATGGTGGCTGGTGTCAGCCAGTGGGAGTGCCGTAACCACGTGTTGGCTTTCCCCCAGTGGTGTAGCATCTGGCTATGGGGTTGAGGGAGAGAAGGATATTGGGGAAATGTAGTAGGGGTGCTTTTTGAAGTTTTTTGAGAGTTTTGTATGGGAGGAAAAAAATACAGTGTGCAAACTGGATTTTTTTCCTGTCTGTGGTTGTGTTTTGTGGAAGGGAACACTTTGAAAACAGCAGTAGGGCTGGGAACATGTGTGTTTGGTGTAGTGGTTAAGTGCGCGGACTCTAATCTGGGAGAACCGGGTTTGAGTCCCCACTCCTCCACTTGCACCTGGCTGGATGACCTTGGGCAAGCCTTAGCTCTGATAAGAGCTGTCCTTGAAAAAGAGCAGTTTCTGTCAAGAGTTCTCTCAGCCCCACCTACCTCACAGGGTGTCTGTTGTGGGGAGGGGAAGGGAAAGGAGTTTGTAAGCCGCTCTGAGACACCTTTGGGTAGTGAAGGGTGGGGTATAAATCCAATCTCTTCTTCTTCTTCTTCTAAACTGTACTATGCGAATGCTTGTGCTAACTATGTTTAGTGCAGACTTCCCCCCACAGGCAAAGCCTGGGGAGCCCCCACCCCCCAGACAGCCAGTTTCCCCCCCTTTTGCAAGCCCCCCCCCCCAACCAAAAGCAACTGGAAACAGCATTTTGCAGCAAAGGAAAAAAGTGACCTTTTTAAAAAGTCAAATGGCTGCAGCATTGTGCAGGAATAGATGAAGAATAGAGAATTTCTAAAGCCTGCTCTTTCTGCAAATGTCCCCCCTGCCCCCACAGAGGAAAACTTGAAACACACATACACAGAGAAGCGAGCAGAGAAAACCAGCCTCATTAGCAGAGAGAGAGTTTGCACCGGAGAATCTCCCAGCTGGTTTAAAGGGGGCAGCAGATTCAGTTCAGAGTGGAGAGTCTCCCCCCCCCCCCTCAGTGGCAACCAGCTTTTTTCAAAAACACAGTTTAAGCAGTTACACACAGAGTAGGTTCTGGTGAAATAAAATAAAGTGTTTATAGCTTCTTAGGTAGGGTTAGGCACACACTCCTATAGTCTTGTAAGGGTCCCGGTGTAAATTATTGCTTTGGGAGAAAAACAAAGCAGCAGTCCTACGCATACTTATCTGGGAGTCAGCTTTGTTTAGGCAGGCTTTGCATCTCAGTAAACAGGCACAGAATGGGGCGGCATTTTCCAAATCCTAGCACTGTACCTGCAAAACTAAGTAACTTTAATGTGGCTGGAAGTCTGCCAAATTTCATTCAACTGTACTTGTGACTGAGAACTTTAGTGTCCTTGGGACAGATGGGGACAGTCCCACTGATTTTAGAGGGCCTTTCTTCCAAGCCAATTTTCCAGCACAGGAATGCTGGGGGATGGGTCAGAAACATCAGACAATATCACAACAGGTGGTACCAGGCTGATTACTACTTCTCTGTTCTAAGCACTGCCCCATCTATACTGTAGTTTGGGGGAGGGGGTGCTGCACAGATCAAACATGATGCATTTGAAGTTCATTTTGGACAATAAAATAGGATTTTAAGTGTCCATGCGTGTGTGTGAAGCCCACATCAAGACCGCAGAGAAGGCGCCTCTGATGGCAGGAATAATCAGTTGGAATGAGGAGGAAAAAACTACTGAAAGATTTATTGGCAGACAGAAAAGCATGCGGAAAGGGTACTGAAATGGTGGGCAAATGGAAAACGCAGAGGGTAGCTAGTGAGAAATGAAGGGAAAGGGGCATGCAAGATATTGGGCGTGGAACGTTGAAAGAGGTGCTAGATAGCCAGGGGGGGCGGGCCTTGGACCACTGGTGAACTTCTACAAAGCCCGCAGGCGCTTATTAGGAAATGTAGTGGTTAAGCCTGTCGGATTAGTATCTGGGAAACCCAGGTTCTAACCCCACTCTGTCATGGAAGCTGGGTGGGTGACCTTGAACCAATTACAAACTCTCATCCTAACCTACATCAAAGGGCTGTTTTAATGATAAAATGAAGGAGTGGAGAACGATGTAAGTGACTTGGGGAGAAAGACGGGGTATAAATGAAGTAAATAAATAACAGCATTGGCAACTGACAGGGAAATCACACACTTCAGCAGAGTTCAAAGAAGGGGTCTAACCACTCCTAACAGTGGGGGTAGAAACTCTTTTCTTTATTGGTTCATCATGCTCAAGGAAAGTATATATATTCCTAAGAAAGTTCAAGATTCAGGCAACTTTACAGAGGCCCCTGCCACACGGCAGGGGAAAAGCCGCCAAAAAGCCGCGCCAAAGTTGAAACGGCGCCAAAGTTGAAACGGCGCGGCGGGATCCCACGGATCCCCTGGCCGCGCTGCCTTTTCTCCCCGGCACGATTAGACGCCGGGGAGAAAACACAGATCTGACGGCGAGCCAGCGGAACTGCGTATGTCGGAACATGCGCAGTTCGGCTAGGAGCCGGGGACTCAGACTCCCGGTTTGCGGCGCACCTTTGAGATGAACCACCTCGGTAGGTGGTTCCAACTTGATGCGGTTTATCACGTGGATGGGCCAGTTTGGGGACGGAAGCACTACGCCTCCCAGATGTTGTGGTGTGATCGCGGCCATTTGATCCGCCCCCAAACCGTCCTGCTCCCGGCCCAAATCCCCTTGTGTGAACGGGACCAGACAAAAGCATAAGCTAGTATAGGCAAATTGACATCAGGTTCATGCAGAACTTTTACACCAATTGCACCCAACTTTCAACCTATCAAGACGCTTTTACTTCAACTTATGTATTCTTACTGGCTTAATGCAGTTAAGCTGGCTGGTTTGATAAGAGAGATTGCTGTTAGCTAACACTTTCCCATCACCCTTAACACAATGCGTTCTCCTTCACAATGCCTGTAAGCATGGCACTGCAACCGGCAAGGCAGCAGTACAAACGGAGCAGAGAAAATAAGGAAACTTCAGTAAGAGCCCAAGATGGGGGTACCCCAAATGTTTCAATTTTTGGGGTTCCCTCGGGCGGGATGCTTCTAGAAGAGGTTGGGGGAGTGTCCCGAGGTGGCAGGTGCAGTTTGAGGGATGGCAAGAGCTGTTTTGGTGATTTTTGGATGTTGACCCTGCAAGGTAGACCACTCCAAGAGGCACTTTGTTTCATTTTGGGGTATCGAGTGCCACCTCAGTGGTCTCATCTTGATGAGGTGAACCTATGGACACCATTTTTGGGGTGATCAGGGGTACCCCAAATGTTTCCATTGTGGGGGTGCCCTTGGGCATCCCGCCTTGTCAGAGAGGTCGGGGAAACTCTGAGAAACTATTTTGGGGGTGCTAGGAGGTGTTTTCATGATTTTTGAAAGGCTGCATGCCAATGTTCCCTCTAAGCTGTGGAGTCTTGTGAGCAAAAATTCTACTTTGTGAGCTACTGGCATTAAAGTTGTGAGCGAGCAATTTGGTTACTGCATAGATTAGTCTGCTCTGGAGCCATCCTTCCTGAGCTAAGACAAATATGTGTGAGCAGGAGGCTAAAGAACTGTGAGCTAGCTCACACTAACTCAATTTAGAGGGAACACTGCTGCATGCAGAGAAGATTTTTTTAATCAGGGTTCCCCTGTGCCCCACCAGGATAATAAAACACAAAGTGGGGAATAAACACCAGACAGAGTTTCAGTCACTGATTTACCTTAGTACAGTGCACATTTACATGGAGTAAATGTTCTGTGTGGGATGTCTTGGAGAGAGGTCTCTCCATCTTGTGAGGCTGGGGGGGGGCTGGTACTCAGGTTGCTGAGATGCTACACCATTGGGGGAAAGCCAACACGTGGTCACGGTGCTCCCACTGGCTGACACCAGCTGCCATCTTGCCACGACCTTGAAGCATGGCCCTTAGGGAGGAGGGGCACCTGTCAAAACGGGAATGAAATGTTGTCCCGTATCCTCCTGGACAGCGATGGGGAAGCCATAAATCGGGCTTTCCTGCCTTCCCTACGCAGGCACTTGCAGCATACTGTTGACTTGCCCACCCTCCCAAAGGGCAACACGGGAATAGCTGGTGGCTACGGGTTGCTAAGCAGCATCAACCAAAACTTCAGTTGTCTGTGCAGCATACTGGGGGAGAGGGATGGCACAGGTCACCTGCAGGCAAGGATAAACAAGCCAGCAAAAATTGCTGACCAAGTGTGCAGCCCAGATGGAGCTGCCCAAATGCTGCTAGCCATGGGCTGCTTAGCAAATCCTGCTCTTAAATATGTTAAATAATAAAGATTTCTGCATGTTCCCCATGCTGAGACAGGAAACTGGAGAGGATCACAATGAAGCAAACAGGGAAGGAAGAACAGCAAGCCAGTCTGTAGTCGCGCACCCGCCCTATTCCTACCACTCCCAACTCCAGGAGAAAAACGTTCAAAGAAAAAGTCCAGTCAGTGGTTCTTTCTTCACCGCATCTTTGTGCTCTAATCCAACTTTCTGTACCTTCCCTTAGCAAGCAGTTAGGCTACTATAGCACAATGAGCAGAACTTCTAGTCCAAGCTCTGGAAGGACTTCAAGATGATACTAAAGGCCACATCACATTTTGGTTATACTCACATAACATTGAGTAGGTTATACTGTCTGTAAATTGTGATTTTAATGTTTTGTATAGACTGTTTTAGACGTGTTGTTTTATTGTTTTTATTGTTGTAAGCCGCCATGAGCCGCTTCGGCTGGAGGGCGGGATAAAAATCAAATTAATAAATAAATAAATAAATAAATAAATAAATTTTCCCCAAACAAAAATGACTATCTACATGCAGTTCCATATTTTCTTATGTAGGAAAAGATTTCCTGAATTAGTATGGAAAAGACACAACCCCTTTCCTCAGAAATGGGAAACATAAACTGCTAAAACTTACAGAATAAGTTTCATGTGGATATTTATTTTGCTTGGCAAGCATGAAAACCAAGGAAGTTCCCCTTACCTGTGCAAATGTATAAAGATTTTTTTTAAATGTAGTTTCAATAACTATACCTATACGCATACAGTTCAAGATTGGTACAGTACAGATAGCTTCCAGAATATATCTATAAGAAGAGAAGGACGGTATTCTATGTTGCATATAGTTAGTGTATTGCTTGCTGTAAATGCTAGGAAGGATTGAACTTGGGCTGGGTGGACTTAGCAGGGGAGGCCATAATAATGTTGGGGATTCTGGTGATTGGGGGGCGTGGGAGGTATGGCAGTGGGGCATGGCATTATAAAGGAAGGAGATGGAGATATGGTTCCTCTTGGTCTCCTTCCAACCTTCGTCCCATCCTGAAGGATGCTGATAGAGGGGCTAGGAAAAATGGCCCTTCTCCAACACTGATGTTGTGCAATGCCAGGTCTATTGATAACAAGACATTCTCCAGAACTATCTTGCAGCTCAAAATGTAGACCTGGCATGCGTGACCGAGACCTGAGTGCAGGAGGACGAAACTGTGTTGCCCTTAACCAGCTCCCCCCTCCCCCCGCCGTTACTCAGTCCTTCATCAGTCTCGGTCTAATGGGTACGGGGGGTGGCATTGTTCATTCAGGAGTCTTTCTCCTTCAGGGCTCTCCCCGCAACAAAAATTACCGGCATTGAATGTGTAGGTCTAGTGTGGAAGACTGAGGAGAGTCTGGCTATCTGGCTGGTGTACTGACCGCCTAATGCACTAGCGGATACCCTGCCGGGCCTGCTGGAGGCAATATCAGGCTGGGTGCTGGAGTACCCTAGGCTACTGGTCTTGGGGAACTTCAGTGTCCATAATGTTATCCATGGCAGCCCTGGGATTCTCCCAATTTGTATCAGCTCCCACATATCAAGTAGGCCACATGCTGGATCTTATTTGGGGGGCGGGGATAGATGTGGAGCTGACGGTCACAGAGGCAGTGTGGTCAGACCACTTTGCTCTGAAGGCCCAGCTGAACACCTCACCCCCTCCCTGTTTAAGCGGCGAACTAATTTATGCTCACCTGTGGAGTCTAATGGATCCTATTGGTTTCCAGAATGCTCTGCGGAATCCAATGCCCCCTGGCGATTCATTAGATGAGCTGGTAGAGGACTGGCGTAGTCATCTCTTGGAAGCCATTGATGAAATCGCTCCCCAGAGCCCTCTTTGCCCCCGCTCCAAACAAGCCCCTTGGTATACTCCAGAGCTTTGGAGGATGAAGCAGGAACGAAGATGGTTAAAGCGAGGGTAGCGGTGTACTTGTGACGAAGCTGCAAGAACAACTTTTAGGATGCTTATGAAAGCCTATGAGATGGCAGTGAAGGCTGCTAAAAAGGAATTCTATGCAGCCCCTATTGTGTTCGCTAGCTCTCGCCCAGCCCAATTGTTTAGGACAATTAGGTCTTTAACTTCCCTACCACAAGGGAAACAAAATGACAAGGAGTTGGCTATTGGCAGTGAGGCATTTGCAAGCTATTTCATGGATAAAGTTTTGTCGCTGTGCCAGGATCTCTCTGCCACAGTTGAAACAGTATGCGAAGTCCCTTGGCTGTCTTCCAGTCCAGTGCTGGACCAATTCAGCCGACTCTCTCAGGAAGAGGTTGACAAGACCCTGGCAGCCGTGAAGCCCACCACTTGGATCCATGCCCATTTTGGCTTATTAAAGCCTGTAGGGACTGAATTCAGGCTTCCCTGGGTGATATTATCAACTTGTCCCTGCTGTCTGTGACATTCCCAGAGTGCCTTAAGGAGGCAGTGGTGCAACCACTCTTGAAAAAAATCATCACTGGACCCTATGGTCCTAGCTAACTACTGTCCAGTATCAAACCTTCTATTCCTGGGCAAGGTAGTTGAGAGAGTGGTAGCTGAGCAACTCCACATGTTCGTGGATAACTCCATCTTGGATCCATTTCAGTCTGGCTTCCACCTGGGCCTGTACTGGTCACCCTCACAGACAACCTCCGGAGACACCTGGATCAATGTAGGATCAAGGTAGGTAGGCGCTGCTTGTGTTACTCGACCTAACAGCAGCTTTTGACACAATCATTAACGATCTTCTGACTCACCACCTTGCTGATGTAGGGATACAGGGAACTGCCTTGCAGTGGCTGTCCTCCTTTCTCCATGGTCGGTGACAGAGGGTGGCACTAGGGGAGAGGGCCTTGCTACATTACCCTATGGTATGTAGCATCATACAAAGGGTGATCCTCTCCCCAATGTTATTTAACATCTATATGCACCCCCCTTGCCCAGTTAATCCAGGGGGTTAGGCTGGGTTGTCACCAGTACACACTGATGACACCCAGCTGTATCTGTTGATGGACAGATGGACTTCCACCCCAGTTATTTTGGGTAGGGCTTCAGAGGCTGTGGCTGATTGGTTACAACAGAGCCAGCTAAAACTTAATCCAGCTAAGATGGAGGTCCTGTTTCTGAGTTGTGGGGGGATGGTTTTGGGTGACTCCCAGCTCTTGATGGGGCACTGCTGATGCCGGTGCCAATGGTGAGGAGTTTGGGAGTAATCCTGGATACCTCCCTTTCTATGGAGGCCCAGATCACTAATACTGCCAGGTCAGCCTCTTAGCATCTTTGGCTGATCAGCTAAGTGGTCCCTTACCTTTCCTCCCATGACTTGGCAACAGTGATCCATGAAATGGTCACTTCCAGGCTTGACTACCGCAACTCGCTCTATGTGGGCCTACCCTTAAGCCTGACCTGGAAGCTTCAGCTGGTACAAAATGCAGTGGCATGAATGCTGACTGGGACATCTGTGTAGACGTAGATTAAGCCAGTGCTGCGCCAGCTGCACTGGTTACTGATTGAGTACTGAATCAGGTTTAAGGTTATGGTGCTAACCTTTAAGGCCCTATGTGGCCAGGGACCGGCATATCTGCAGGACCACATCTCCCCATATGTGCCCCAAAGAGACTTGCACCGTTTGGTAGTCCCTGGCCCAAAAGATGTCCATCTTACCTCGACCAGGCCAGGGCCTGGTGGAACATGTTCCCTTTAGGATTTATTGCAATTCTGCGGGGCCTATCAAACAGAGCTGTTTCGCCAGGCCTTTGGCTGAGGCAGTAGATGTCAAATAACATCAGCTTCTCCTGCCTCAAGTGCTTCATGTGCTCCATAGCATGATTTAGATCATTGGTGCTACGAACAGCACTTATTCCACCAAATGATCCACTGCCCCTCCTGGCATAAGTGTAGGATACTGGAATGGAAATTCATTACTGAGCTGCTAATAGATATTTAAATGATTAATTTAAATTTTAAACTGGTTAAAGTTATTTTATTGTTATAATGTTTTTATGAATTATTGTTCTGTAAGTTGATGTGAGTTGCCCTGAGCCCACTTGTGGGGTAGGGTGGGGTAAAAATCCCAAAATAAATAAAACGAATGAATAAATAAGAGAACTATGGCTTAAATAAGCCTCCATCACACACTACACAAAATTTTGAAAGATATTATTTACTGAGAGACAATGTGATTTCTTTCTTTATGCAGGGCTTTTCAGCCTGTACTATCACCCATCAAGTAAGTGGCTCAAGAACTCATAGTGGATGAAACAACCACCATAGCTTCTCTCTTTCATTCACACCACACAGAAATACACGATTATATTAACACCGTGCTTCTAAAGCATAGGTAGACGCGCACTCGCCTCCTCCAGCCGGCACCGCAGCCTCTCGCGCTTCTTTCGAAGCCGCTCCAGGTCGCGCACGATCTCCTGACATCCAGACAAAAGCAAGGCCTCGTCGGGGCTCCGCTCAGCCATCGGCTTGTACAGGATCCGGGACACCTGACGTCGAATAACAGAACAGAGGGGATGAGGGAGCCTGCGCCGGGCGCAAGATCAGCCGGCGGAACCGCCCCTTCCCTACCTGCCGACGTCGCTCTCGCTGCTCTTCTTGGCGGAGGAGCTCGGCGCGCGCCGCCGCTTTCCGCTCCGAGCGACTCAAACTCCTACCAGCCGCCATCGCCTCCGTCGCTTCCGCGTACCTAGCAGCCCAGCCAGTGGTTCCAGCTACTTCGACTTCCGGCCGCCTGGAACACTGAGACGGAATACTAGAGCGCCTTTCTCGCTGCCATTGTTTTCGACTCCCCGGAGGAAGGATATGATTCCAGAACTTCCGGCTCTACCATAGAGTCTGCTCCACTGTGACGTCCAATACAAAGTATATATAATAGCTTCACTATAGAGAGGCCAAGGGATAGAGCGACGCCACTCAATTCACCGCCCTCTTTAGGATGGCCGTAGACAATCCTGAACAATGCTGACTTGCGGGGTCCATCGGCCGGGGAACGGGAACAGGAACAGCCGTGGTTTAACAAGACCGGAAGTGCAGTCGGCCTACGTCCGCCTGTTGTCGAAGTCTAACTTTCGTTGCGCTCCTCGGACAAGTTTATATAACGTCAGCTCTAGCAAAACAATCTTATTTCTGCGAAGTTTTACAGAGGAAAACATACTGCAGCCAGTTTGCTACAATCACTGATGTTCAGGGCACGAGTATACAAATAATAGCCGTAGATACATAGAAAGGAGGGAAAGATAGGAAATTGTTATGCTAAGAACATTTTAACCTGTGCTGATTATTTGTGGAGGTGATGACCCTTATTGCATGGAAAGGATTCTCCTGAACTGCTGATATCAGGTCTACATCTATTAGCACAGTCTCCCACCTCCCCACAAGCCCTACACCACTCTAAGGAATTTCCACACCCTGAAGTTAAACTTTAATTCTACCAAGTTAAAGTTAGGCCTCTGGGCTTGTAAAAGGAATCGAAACCTTCTGAACAGGAAATCTACTAACTCAGTGCTTTACTTGTAGACATTTCCCAACAGGAGATGAAGAATATAAAAGGCAAAGTCATCGCTGCTCACAGCAGTCAGAGTTGAAAATGTCTAGGTAGATAAGCGTAAAAGACCTCTTTTATAAATTTGCTTTTTCATAGTTTAAGCTTCTACCCACGATTTGGATAATTTTATTAGCTTTTCTCGGAATGGGGTGGGGGATGCAGCCAAGCAAAGAAGGGTTGCTTAGTCTGTGCCCTTCTTCAAGGATTCTTGGAAGCAACTCTCTGGCTACTGTTGGAGACAAATGCTGGACCATTTAAAGTTATAGACTACCAGGGTTATTTTAATGTTCTTTAATGCATTACACTTGCATGCAATTTCGTTTACTAAATTAGGGGGGGGAGTGGTATTTTTACATTGCTAATTCGTGCTTTAAAAGCTTGCCTATTTGGTCAGTTGGCCACAGTCTTAACCATTCAGAAGTCTATCTTGTTATCTCAGAATTTTTTCAGGCCAGAATCGTTTCTAGAACACAGAGTATGAATATATGTGCACTAGAACAAGAAATTATGAAGCAGGACAGCATATTTGGACAGCCAGTTTGGTGTAGTGGTTAAGAACGCGGACTCTAATCTGGGAGAGCCGGGTTTGATTCCCCACGCCTCTACATGCAGCTGCTGGTGTGACCTTGGGTCAGTCATAAATTCTTTCAGAGCTCTTCTCTCATGAGCAGTTCTCAAAAGAGCTCTCTCAGCCCCACCTACCCCACAGGGTGTCTGTTGTGGGGAGGGGAAGGGAAAGGATAGTGTAATCCGCTCTGAGACTCCTTTAGGTAGCGAAGGGTGAGGTATAAATCTAATCTCTTCATCTTTTAATGTATTCAGCTATTGTGCACTTCCTTTTCAATGTACATCTTCAAGAATTCAGGATTACCTGAAACGGTTTTTAAAAAATCAGAGTAGATTGATGCACTGTTCTGACAGCCTTAATAACTCCAGGATACTTCTTCTTTTCACCAGCATCTGCAAACAAGGTAGTGCCTGTAGTTCCCAATGGAACTTCACTGAGCATCCAATATATCATAAATCTGAGAGCACTAATTTCAACCCCAGCAGAAGAACTATGCTGACATTTAGGACAGGATGCTTACAACCCCATCCTATGCACATTTACTTAGAAATAAGTCCCACAATTTAGGATACTTAGCCATAGACACCAGAGAAAAATTATTTCAGATATGTCAATTTAAGGTTAATTAACAAGCATAAGAACCTTTAGGGATACTTTATCCAAGTTCGATAGCCCACTAAATACCTCTGTATCGATGAGATCTACAAACTATTCCTTTTGTGGATATTTAGAATGTAACTCATTCCTACTAGTAATGTTCCACCACATTTCACATAACAGGCAGAATGCCAACAGATATGCTAAGTAATTCTTTCTTTACACTTGTTAAGTACAACATCTAGCACTTCCAGTGGGAGGGGAAGATCCCTACTAAAGTTCATTCATTTGAATTGTGACAAAAATGATAATTATATATATTGTGCTAAAGCAGATCATCTAGGAAGTCTCCAGTACTCAGAACAGGAAACCATTTTGGTTTTTCACAACAGGAAAGAAAGTTGCCCTTTACTGCATACCAATAGTCAAACCTGAAGAACTTCAATCAGCATGGGAAAACAAATCTGCCAGCCCAAAGCTGGTCAGTAACAGGATAGGGAACAGCCTCTTTAAAGATGTTTATTGGTCATATACAAAATAAAGAATGTTTCATATCAACAAACATACACTATATACATAAATAAATTAACAACACCTCCACTGGGGCTGTGTCAACAAATTCCCCAACAGTTATCAGATATCTACAGATTTTAAAAGGACAATAATTTAGCAATAAATACTGATTAATTAGTTGGGCTCCACTGTTGTACAACAGAGCTCCAGGACTTGACAATATGCTATTACACCCCTGTCACATAGAATTTATCTCCAGTTTTATTAACTTAGGAGATTCTTTTAAATCAAAATATTTGTCTTCTCCTTTTAAGAAACATTTGAAAGCAGCAGTGAATTTATCATCAATATCTTGTAAGGGCCACATTCTCAGCACCTCAAAGGTGGGAAGAAATGCCCTCAGCCTATTTCATTAAGTGCTCTGAATATCATCTCTCTTGTTTCTCCATAACATTCCAGTTTGGCAAAGGGTATAATAAGCTCAGAGCAAACTGCAGGTAAGGGTGAGGACAATTAGAGTTTGGTTTCACACCACCTTAGGATCACAACTACTCTTACCCAAGCCAGGCAGTAACTTACCTTCTTTGGGAATGAGGAGACTACTCGCTCAATAGCTGCACAATTTCATTCACACAGGTAACAGCCACAAGCATCCAAAGTTCATATACATGAGCTAAAGGGGGCAGGGAGAGGAGAAAATTCATCTTCCCTCATTCGAAGAACTTGTCAAAAGTTCACAGCTAGATTGCTATAAGATCTTCTCCTGGTCTCTATGAGGAGGAGCAATACTGTGTTTGCAGCCCTAGCCCCTCTTTGCGTTATCAGAGGAAGCAGCTATGTTACCAAACAGGAAAGGAATAGTCCTATGAAATAGCATATGTTCTTACTGACAGACTTGAGACATCAGGAAAATGTGAGAATGCATCTGCTAGTAAATTCTTCCATCCTGCAGATGAAGGGAACGCAACATACCACTAGAGCTTACCTACAATTCACACACAGTGTAAACCTTCATCAGTATACAAGGGTGCTGGCTTGGTTTGTAGGTGGTACAAAGAGATGCCATCCTGCAACTTCTCTGGAGTGTGCCAAATACATAAAGGACACAAAAACAAACAAACAAGGAATACCAGGAATGCAGTGTCTTATTTGCACAAGTGCACACACATGCACACAAACATCCCAAGAGCACATGCCCCAAATACTAACTGAGCAGTCTCTGTGCCCAAATGTCAAGTAGCCTGGCTCCTAGCCTGCAGTGTTCCCGCTGCTTTTTTAGAGAGGAAGTAGTAATTATTTTATAATCCTAGAGATCACTTTTACACAGTTCACCACAACATAAACAAGCCCCCAACCTACCCCCAGCACAAGTCAGCCACAAGTGGGCGGAATTATACTTCACAGGTTTGCTCTGCAGCCAGGTTGAAGGAAAAGGTCCCTCACCTGTTGCATCAAACAAAATGCCCAATAAAGGAGAAATAAAATCACAACACTCTTCACAGCAGGAAAACCAAACAAAGAAACAAGCACCTTGAAAACAAGAACTGTCACACTTTGAATGCTATATACCAGAGAGAGAAACTGTGGGTGAGGGCTTAAGAGAGATACCTGGGATGGAAAGAACACAGGATGAACTCAGGAATACCAGAAGCAGACACAACTGAACATGGGTGGGGGAAGATGGCAGGTGCAAAGGATCCCTGGGCACTGGAAGATTCCCCATTTAAATTTCAGCCCCTTAAATGTTCCAGAGCTATAAGGTAACTTCCTGCAACAAACCTGACTGCGGACAGCTTCACACTTTTGAAGACTTAAAAGGCGCAAGAAGCGCAATTCTAAAGAGATTTGCAATAGGGAGACATCTAATATTACCTGAAATCTAACAGGGAAGTAAACAACTCATTAAAAGGAAGCAGCAATGGAAGCCCAGGCAACTCCAGGGAGCAGTTAAAATGTGTTTAGAATGATATGACCATGACAGCATTAGTTTCAAGAGAGCCAACATGGATTTCTGAACTGTTCATTTTGCTGAAGAGATATTTATATCCTAAAAAGGGAGCCATACAAAGCACATTAACACACAAGCTGAATTTAAAATACCAAAGTATGGAACTATCACAAGTATCATTATACTAGTTTTCCTGGGGCTGTAAGCAAATACAGTACAGAGAAGCACAACACTGTGAAATAGGCAGATTCTTGAGGTCAGACAGCAAGAATAGAATTGCTATCAGTGAGCTCAACAGTCCAGGCTACATAACTCCCCTTTGTGCAACTCATGGATCAGGAGACCTAAAATTTAATTTTAGTGCCCACCAGTGTTTCCTCTAAGCTGAGTTAGTGTGAGCTAGCTCGCAGTTTTTTAGCCTCCGGCTCACACATTTTTGTCTTAGCTCAGGAAGGATGGCTCCGGAGCAAACTAATTTATGCAGTAGCCAAATCACTTGCTCACAGCTTTAATGCAAATAGCTCACAAAGTAGAAATTTTGCTCCCAAGACTCCATAGCTTAGAGGGAACATTGGACTGCCCACACCTTCCTTCTCAATTTAGTGATCAGAAAGCCCAGGTTATGTGCTATTGTGTTTTACAAGTCTGACAAGTGTGCATAAATATTGCTTACTCAGATTACATCTGTTTGGTTTTCAGAGAATTTGGATTTCTTTGGCAAGGACTAGAAGGTGTAGGGCGATGGAAGAAAGAAAATATACACAGCATAGGGGGATGAAGAGGAATGTGTGGATAAAGGCAGAGGGATAAGAAATAGTGAACGGTAGGAAAGCTCTGGACACAACAACCTCAGAGAGACCAACACTTGTTTCTAAACCTTTCAAACCAGAGGTATCATCAGCTTCGAGTCGTCTCTGTATTTTTGCAGTCCCTTCTCCAACATGGCCCGCAGCATCCCCAATACACTCCACAAAGCTCAATCATTTTCAGAGTCAGAAACCTACTGGTCTTAGCTGAGGAAGGTTTTGGGCTTCCCAAGAGCTACCAGTATAAGCCCCAGCAATAGACCCTTTACTTGTTCTTTTTAAATATAAGTAAGTAAAGCAGGGATTGTGAATTTTGGTAGAATCTTCAGCCAAGGCAGCCTTGTGTCTACACCAGAGCTCCTTCCTCATTCTTTTCCCTTTCTTTGCAGCTTATTCCCAAGTTGCTCTTTGCACATTTGCAATTCACAGGTACAGACAGAAGTACCCCACACTATCAAGGCATGGCAAAACACTAGCTGGCATGTTTACAAGGAGACTGAGTGAGAAAAAGGAGCCCCAGCCTATCATTTCAAGCTGCAAGCGTGCAACAGTAAGAGTTCATAGCAGAGGATTATGAGTACATACAGGTATGTCTTGAGCTGGAAGCTCACAATGGATCTGCCTTCACACCTCTTTTTGTACTAGCTTCCAAACTAAATGGAGCTCTAGAGTTACTAATTCTATTTCCAGCAGAATCCACATGGTACAGACTGCTAAATGGCTGGCCCCTGCAACAATCACAAATCCACTGTCTCCCTACCACCACTATCCACCTAGAAGAGCATGTTCAATTTGTTTTGTTTTTAAAGAGCACCAAGAATGTTTTAAGTCAACAGTCATGCCAGGTGCCTGAAATGTTTTTAAAAATCCAGAAATCTGCACAAAACGGGAGTTGTTGGGTGCACAGGTCAATAGAGAAGTGAAGATGGGGAGAAGCAGAGCTTGTCCCACAGCAGAAAAAAACTACACTGACTATGGTAGTATACATATGCACTCAAAGAGAGCCAGCAGACATCAGAAGAGGGGCAGCGTATCCTCTTTTAAAGCTTTCTTTCCTTCCTTGCCTCCACTGTAAGTATTGCCCTGCCCAGGGCCCAAGCTCTGACACTCCTGCATTGAGTGGGCATTAAGAAGAGGAGTCTTGAGGAACTGTTTTTCATTCAAATGAGGTGAAACTTCTGGTGTAATCACCAGAGACTGTGCTTGGACATCTGCTAAGCAGAAATTTGTCTTTCCATCTCATTTGAATCTGACACCCCTTCTTTACACGCACATTACGCTTTTCCCCAGTGATGCAGCCAAGAGGCCAAAGAGTCTGTTAACATGAAAGCTGGCATTTTTACAGTTCTGAAAAGCTGTCAGGTTCTCTGCTGCCCTACATCAGCCATACACATTTCTAGATCTTATAGACATGATCTAGATTATACAACTCAGGACCAGGCTACTGCCAGTCAGAAGATAGATGGTGAGCATGGTTTAACTAGCACACAGAGACCATGTGTGTGAGAGGCTCTGAACACATTTTCTCTTCCAGCATTTGATAACTTACCAGCAGTCACTCACTATGCTGGCTCTGAAGACAATTCATTTGCCTACAGAGCCTCCATTTTTAAATGCCCACCTATAGCAATTTTAAATAACACATACTGAGCACAACATGTTCTTTCTCAATAAGGGAATTTCTGGTTAGCAACACAGAAGGTACCACTTCTCCTTCCCAATCAAAAGAAATTGTTGAATGGCAGCCAGGAGCAGTCAGAGCTTCTTTATAGAACTCAAGGACTAGGTTTCCAGTGATACTTTCTAAACATCCAGTAGACAGCACAGCGAAACTGAACTTTCCTGGGTCACACTGACCACCACAGACTCCTTAACCTTTATACCACTTCCTGTTCACCTTCCTAAGCATTTCCAAATATGCCAAAGGAGGGAAAGGAAAAGGAAATGAATGTAGTACCAGCAGCAGAAGAATCCTGCCCCAAGAGTGTACCAACAGGAATAATGTATGAAGGCCAACTCTAAGTTAACACTGCTTCTTAGGATATACTTCCATCTTTATTAAGCAGCAGTAAAGTGGCCTATTCAATCCACACTTTTGTTGTCGACAGTGACTGTGATCTTTGGAGAGATCCAGGATCAGCAAGGAAGCAAACTCTGGGAGCTGTGACCCAAGTGAAAGCAGTACTGTCTGCCAGCTGTCATCAAGCAGTTTTGATAACATCTTAGAAGAGCAGACTGACCTCAAGCTTCAGTGACCTGGGAAGACAATTCCTCTGACTGGAAAACTGCTCCACGAGGCAGAACCTTCAGAATGTCAATAGGGAATGCCCAGCAAAATCTCTGCACTCAGCCCAGGAAAAGCAAGCACAAAAAAATGCTCCAAGGACACCCACACAGCAAAGTTGGCCATTGGCAGCATCACATCACAGCGCCACACAAGACCTCAGAGCACAAACAACTCAACACAATGGGAGCACAAAAGAAGCAGGTGAGGAGTTCAAGAATAAGTCACTTTTGGTACAATTGCAAAAAGATATCAAACAGGACTTGCCTTCCCCCCCATGTTATTTATAAATAAAAGTCTGATAACTCTTTATAAAAACCAACCTCAGAGCCACAAAAGCTTAGTGAGAAACTTTTAAAATTTACTTTTTCTTTTTCAAACTAGCAATTCCTCCGAGAATACGACAATCAAATATTCTCACCCTCTCAGGTGAAAAGGGAGACTGTCATGTACAAGCTTTGTCCAATTTTAGGTTTGAAAACTTAGATTTCATAATTCTTAAAAATGAATGTTTCTCTCTTAAATAAAGGGCTATTTAAACCACATAAACTGGTTGTGTAAACCATCACACTAGAGACACTTGATACTCTTCAAACACACAAAACAACTAGTGATTTTGGTCTTGATCAGTGCAACACATTAGGCACAAAACTGGCCTGTAGTCACCATGGTACAGCCTGATAGTCAAGTTAATACAGTGCTCATTCCTGTCTTTTTTCACTTCTTTGCAGCACAGACACCAGGAAATTGCAGTTTTGCCACTTCCCTCCCCTTTCAGGAAAAGTCCCAAGGAATCCCACCTTTAAACACAAGAGGCGCAACTAGATGTTAATATAAAAATGGTTACACAAACTACCCCCATTACAGTCACTGATACCAAGCAATTTACAAGCAGCAGATTGGACAGCTGACACACAACCCTGGAAGAATAGTATAAATCATCAGAAGATACTGACAGCAGATCTTCTAACTTTCTATGACCTCTGCCCTCCCCCTTTTGGGTTATTCCACCCCAAGACTCTACTCTATGCTGCTGAGAATCCCTTTGCCAAGATATCAAGGTCCTCCAGTTTCTGTTCCCAGAATACCCTGGGTGGAAGGTTCTGCTCACACAGAAGGGTTGCATCACCATCAGTCACATCAACCAGAACAAAGCTAAAAACAAAGGGACTGCAGTGACAAGCGGGCCAGCATGTGCCTGTGTGGCTGGGCCATCTGGGTGAGGGTTGTGCTTTGGGGATTCCGGATGAGCTTTGTGCCTATCTGCCCTGCACACACAAGCCCAGGCGGTGCTCGTTTCACTAAGACCGGGCGTCCGTTTTAGATTTCACTATCGTGATGACGCTGGTGGTGACAACCTTGCCAGGCACGAGGGGACCCATGCTTGAAGCAAGTGGTCCCCGCGCAGGGGTGACAGGGCTCCGGGCCACGGTCCGGGCGAAGTTCTGCAGTGCCTCATACTTGGAGCGCAGGGCATCAAGTTCCATTTTCATGCTGGCATTAAAAAATGAAGTTCTGCTTTCTGCTTCTCCAGCTCCTCCTTCTGTGTTACCCTCTTGACACGGCAGCTGGCAGCATAGCCTCTGTTCTTCAGGGTTCGCCGACGTTGCTTGAGTTGGATTATCTCCTCCTTCGACAAGCCCCGCAGATGCTGGTTCAGCTCCCGTACGGACATGGTCACCAGCTCTTCATCTGTCAAGCTGGTCCCATTCTCACCTGGCTCCCTCTTCACCTGCAAGGATAGTACGAAGCACACATATCAGTGAAGCTCAGGGAATACGCATTCACAGCTAAGCCCCAGGTTTTTGCCATTACCTTCAAGGCTTTGTTTCCTTTGTTGGGGGTCGTCATAACACGCAAGCCTTCGCAGTCAGCTTCTGCAACGAACAGAATGCAAGACCAGGGGTTACTGACACACTCAAAGTCCTAGAGCACTCATTCACAGATACCTACTTTTCTGGCCCATCAACTTGGCAGAGAAAGCGGGCAGGGCTCTCTGCTGGAACTAACTCCCATGTGCTCTGCCCAGCACAAGCAAAACCAAGAGACTTACAAGAGCTCCTGACCACCTCTGTCCTTGTCAGTCCCACAGCTCCCTATAAAACTTACGAGGCAAATAGCATGGGAGGGCAGGAGGGGAGGATTAAGAACCTGGGAGGAGCCACAGCAGGATGAAGCTACATTTAAAAATAGCCTGGCAGCCAGGGTCCTGTCATGCTGACTCAGCATACTAGCAGCCTTGCTAACAGAACACGCCTTGGAGTACAACCCAGCAGGAAAAGAGCAACAGCCTATGCCCATTTCCATACTGTGGTCCAAACTTACACGGTCTATCAGGAACTGCACAGACTTCAGAAAGATCTGGGGAAGGGGTCTCTCACCCACCCCCCATAAAATAGAATCTGGTACATATGAGTTGACCTACCCTGTCTAAGCTGTTTGTCTGGAAGTCTGAACAACCAGGGTGGGGAGAAAAAGAGGAGACACCAAAGCCAAGAGAATTTCTTAGCTACAGCATACAATGCAGATTGTGGGATTTGGCTGCTGGATGAAGAATTTGTTCCCCTGATCAGAATTATGGTAATCTCAATTTCTTTTTCATCACTTGTCACTATCATGTTAGCACTGGTCATAAACATAAGCCAATAAGAAATGAAAGGTTTTCTGGGTGTGTTCCCAATCATTAGAATATTACTTCTCTCTATTCAATTGTTCTAACATCCTTCTGTCTCTAGCTAACAAAAAATTGGATTCATAAACCCATCTACCAATTTTTAAATGTAGAGCTATAAAAGTCAAAGCACATTTGTGCAACGTCACTCCATTAGCTTACTACTGTATTCATGTCACATTATTCTAAACTTCCAGAACATGTGGCATTGCTAGGGATATCTGTTCCAACTCTAGATTCTTTTTGGTTTAAGGTTCTCAACATTCTCAGTTATGGTTTCATAAATAAGCGTGGAAATGTAAGGAATCCGAAAGCTAATTAAAAAACACATAGGTTATGCTTCCATATTTCATAATTTCAACATCCATTGTATAAGTAAGGAGCATAACATTTTGCATTACAATACCAGAATTCACAAGGAACATAACCTCTCTGGGACAATAAATACATTTGCAAGGAAATTTTTACTGCTGTGTACAAGCTATAATCCTTGTTAATGGACTATCATCTCCAATATGTTATTGGAACCACTTTTTTCTAGTTTCAAACCAGCAATGAGCAAGTAGTATCACAAAAGGGAAACACATTCACCAGACAAAATTTGGCATTCACAGTATGTTATGCAATGAAATGTCATGCTGTATCTAGAAATAAGCAAGTTGCCCAGGCCTTGTGTTTCCCATGGCTAACTACACACCCTTGTCCTATAACCAAAATAAAGCTAAATACATTCCTAAAAATTAAGCCTCAAAGTGTATGCAAGGCTAATTCTCTTCTAAAGAAAATCTGGGATCCCAAGCAAGACATGAACTGCATTTTGTGAGCCACATATATTCTAAAATATCTCCCACCCCACCCACAATAGGCATTAGTAAGTACTCTACCTTCAGCTGCTCCTCTGGAACAACTTGGAAACTGCAGCTATTCCCTAGGCAAGAAGAAAATCTGCTGTTGTGCCCTGGGCTGAGTTGGGGGTAGTGGAGCCTCTATGTGCCTTCAGACAGTGGGTATCTTTACATCCACCTCCCACCAAGCACATCAGCACTTACATGGCATAATAAATGCATCTCCCCCACAGTCCATGTTCTTGTTTGTTAAATGCATAAAACATCAGTTCACATTTATAGCAGAGAATTAAGACAAGCTAGTGTCAGCAAAAGCCAAGAAACGGTCCCCCAGCAGCTCCCCCAGAAGGGATGGCTTCAGCGCTTTCCAAGATCACTAATAGGCAAGCAACAACTCGGTTATTCCTAGAGCACTAAAAACTGCTGACAAGCAAAGTGCTTATGCCCAAAGGACATGGCTGTGGTCACTGATTAAAGGCTTACCTTACCGTAACACTACAGGTCTCTACTGCCTTACTAAGGGAACCCACCAAGTTATTTTTTGTCTTTGGAACAGATGTGAAGATTCTAAACAATTACTGGTCTCAAAGTGAAACACATTTAGTTCACTGTTGCTCTACTATCTATAACATGAATGGATGGCAGTCTTGGGAATCACTGTTCTAGAAATTTGTGAACAAAACCCATCATTGCTATACTCTTGAATTTAGAGGCTAGGGCAGCAGCAGCAGCCCTGCCATCCTCTCCAAACAGAAATCATGACGTAGGCTTCCCTCTCACACGATTTTAAAAGTTATTACGATAACAAGGGTTAAATAAATGCTGGGGTATACATGAATATTAAGGCCTTCTGCTTTCATTTCCCCTGAGCTCTTTCTCTGCCCAAAACACATATGCAGCCATGTGCCCACATGAAGCAGAAATGCAAATCAATTACTGACTGTCATGACCTCACAGAACAATCACCACACTGCCATGTTTTCAACCCAACTCCTCCTCCTATAGTAGATTTTACCTACAACATATTAGAGAAAGTCTCTGGCCACTTGCTAGCACTCACACAAGAGAGATCTGAACATTTCTGAAGACAATGAACTATCACAAAAAGGTCAACACTGTTCATGAATCCAGCACAAAAAAAGGATCTCTTAAATTTCACACAGCACATATGACGTTCCACAGAAGTCAGAGGGCACAACTAGGGCTGCCAACTTCTGGTGTGAAAATACCTGGAGTTTTTGGGGGTGGAGCCTGGGGGGACCAGGGTTCTGTGAGGGGAAGGATCTCTGCAGCGTATAACCTCATAGAGTCCACCCTCCAAAGTAGACGTTTTCTCCAGGTGAAAAAATCTCCATCGTCTGGAGATCATTTGTAATTCTGGAAGATCTCCAGGCCCCACCTGGAGGCTGGCAACCTGGTGGATAATATACATGTTTAGTGCCTAGCCTTCTCAGCAAGGATCTTCACAGGGATCTAATAAAAACCCAGCTAAAAGCTTCAAGTGCACAGTTACTTGTTAACGTTGAAAAAGAGGACATGGTACAAAAAGATGCTGCCCTGGAGGAGGCTTCAGTGTTCCTTGTCCCTTCTCACCACTTGGGAATTAACTGGGGAAGATTACTAGGAATGAAAGACGGGACAACACTCTAAGCCTGATGTCTCAGAGTGTGAAGCTATCTGAACCCTCACTAGTATATTAAGGGTTAACAATCTTTATATGCCATAACAACAAATATGGTGCATTTAATTTATCTTGAGGGTAAACTATAAAGACTACATTAAACAGCAAAAACTGCAATTCTATGCATGCTCATTAGGAGAAAGCATCATTTTCAGTAGCTGTTACCTCCAAGGTAAAATGTATGATTTCATTGCCTAGGAGGGGAACTAGAAGATAACACAGTAACAAAGCTTACACTTTTTGTTCTCAAGGACCAGATTCATAAACTGGAATAGCACTGGGCCTTTCTACAGTCCTGACTTACTGATCACAGAAACACGGACTTATTAAAAAGCCTGCAAAGAGGACAACCAGAGAGAACTGGCATCCAGACAAAGACAAACTTGGTCTAACTCCCCAGACTGCTGATTTCTCAGCTTTTTGACAGCTTCCCGAAGAAAGATCACACTGGAAAGTGCCAAGTGCGACGGCTGCAAAGGGAAAAGTGCAGTCTCGACACATTTTGCTAGGACTCAAAAGTCCTGCACTCAGCACAAGCACCGCCAATTCTTTGCTCACAACAGCACTGACAGCACAACGCATGATTCAACACAGGCCCCATTCTCAACATTCTTGATTCACAGAGCTGTGCCATCAAACTAGTGTAAACATGGTGACGTCACTCTTTCCAGCATCAAAGTCAGCCTTGAGACAGCTCCATCACTGGGAGGCTCCGCTGTAAAGGATGAGAAAGAAGATTGACATGACAATGAGGAACTGGAGAATAGCCTGCAGTGGGAGGTTTTTCAACAAGTATAGCACAAAGCAGCTTCAGTCCTACACTGTACCTCTCTCCATATCCATGGTTCTAGAAACTGCCACTTTAACCAGTTTTCAGAAGCTCACCTACATTTAGTGTCTCAACGGTCTTTCTATACATACTTGGATTCCTTTGCTAGAGAATTTAACTTGGCAAAGGGATTTGAAAATGGCGGTTTACCCTGTAAAGTATCCAGCAACAAGTGGTCACACCAAAGAAGCTTGATTCCTCAAAACAGCCATGATTGGCCCCTTGAGAATTTTCCCAAAATGCTTACATTCAAAGTATGCCTACGCTGCTTTTATTATGAGTGCACCTTTTACTCAGCAGAACTGAGGGGAGAGGGACAGACAAATCAAGATTCTGAACTGACTTGACACATCCTTACAACAAACATATCATGTAAAACTAGCTTCCTAATGTCCACAAGCCTGGTCAGTTATTGCAATAATCAAATAAAACCAGTGGAGCATACACTGTCCATGTTGCAGAGTCCAAGACATTAGACTGGGAAGCAAGACAACTGCATCCCCTGCCTGGTACTATAAGACCAAGAGCAAACAAATTCCCAGTGCCACAGCTCATCCAATAGACGAAGAGTATCATGCTGTTACTCATATCTGAAGACACCTAGTTACAAGGGGGGCTGTTTTAAAACCAAGAACACTAACTAAATACCTTGCCTCTATTCATGTAGCTCTGACTTGTCTTACATTATTAAACCCATTAATTTTTCTAGAAAGCAAAAAGAAAAGAAAACAACACACCAAAATAGTACCACTGCAAAAAAAAAATAGAGATTGGGATACTGTGCATGTGCCTGTTAGGGTTTGAAATAACCTTTCACAGACCAGAGGGACAGACAAGATGATTTTCTTTTCTTTTTTACTAACTGTGCTGCCCTGAACCCCCAGAATCAAAATATATCAGTCCTAGGCAAAATATTATTACACAGAGACCATATCAACCTTCAACAAGACAGGCTTTCGAACATCAAGTCATACTAATTAGATTGCCCATCTCTTGACAGCTAAGCCACTATCAGACTGGTGGAGGGTAAACTGTCCTCCAGAGTTTTTACTGTAGATGACGGCATTCTCCTGCTAGCTTTGCTGTGGGGACTTCCTACTAAGGACTCAGCAGAGGACAGCCTGCACTTGTTGCGTATATGTGCTTCACAAGGCACATCAAACAGATCTGCATCTCTGTGCCCTTCAGGATGACAGCATGCTAACCTCCTTCACAGAGCCCTTGAGAATGTCAAATGCATAGACAAGAACAGAACAAGCAATTTCCACAGAACTGTTTTGCTGAGACTAACTATAAAGAAATCTAAAAAAGAAGCCCTACAGGTAGACAGAAAGAGAACATGCAACCAAAGCTCATGCACCCACCGCAAACAAACAACCCTCCCCCACAGAAAAACTTCATAAGGGTCTCTCAAAGTTCTGACAAGCATCCTTTCCCCTGAACATTTCTGTCCTCTCTTGTTGCTCATGGATATATGTTTTGTGACATATGCTTACAAAGCTGCACAAGTCAGAGCATCATAAATACAGAAAAGAGGAAGAGAAGCTCCAGTGAACTCCATCCTCTGTTGTCTCCTGCAACCTGCACCATTTTCACTGTCAGAAGATGAGTCAGCAAATCAGCCTTCACAGATCATTTTCTGAACTGGCTCTTTTGCCAGGTCCCACCAGCCCCTTGGCAACCCCCACTTCACTTTGTGCAGCATATACCTAGCGGTGACCTCATGTTGATGAGTCAGCAGTGTCTAGGTTCTGCACAAGAAATGCTGCGTTAAGAGAAGCAATGGGATGCTCAGATTCCCTCATCCTGCATACTCTCTCCCCCCCCAACCCCAACTTCTACCCCACAAACACACCAGTCCTTCCTCCCTGCTCCAGACACCTGATGAGTCAGCACCGCCAGCCCTTTAACATTCCCAGACATGGCTGCACATCTCAGGAGACACACACAGACTGGCCAGGGGCCAACCACCACCCCTCCACAGGTAAACGAGGGACACATCGGTCTCAGAAAACTCGAAAATCAGTGGGGAGGGACCCAGGTACTCTATCAAACTTACTGCTTTAAAATAAATATCAACTAAATAAGGAGTCAAGAAAGCTTAGGGGAGGTGAAGGAAATGCTGCGTGGAATAAGGTCGCCTACTCACACCCAATACTCGAGAAAAACAAGAGAAACCCACCTGTCAACAGGAAAGAAAGAAAGAAAGAAAGAAAGAAAGAAAGAAAGAAAGAAAGAAAGAAAGAAAGAAAGAAAGAAAGAAAGAAAGAAAGAAAGAAAGAAGATGAAATAACAAAAAAAGTATTGAGAAAAAAAGGGGGGTGGGGGGGGGGGGGGAGCTGGCCGCTCTACGACCAGTACAAGCCCACACCCCACCCGAGTACATCAAAATGCCAGAGTCGCTTTTTCAACAATAAATACGACAGCGAAAGGAACATTCTACTCCATAAACCCCCAAATTACCGGGAAAAATCAGACAGGGCAGAAGTCTCCCCTCTAAAACGTCTCCGATTCTACCTCAGAGCCCCCTCCCCCGCAATATTAATTCCTCCTCTTCTCTCTTTCTTTCTCTGCCTCCTTCCCTCGTGGAGGAGGGGGGCGCGCGCTAGAATTCGTCTCCCCACCACAAGAGGAGCCCGCCCAACCTCAGGCGCTCGCGCAATCGCTCACCCTCCGCTCGGTGCCGCCGGGGGGGGGCGCCGGGGCGGGGAGGGGGGAAAGCGCCACGAACAGAGGGACCGAGAGTCCGGGGTCCACCGCTGCCGCCGCTCACGGACACGTCACGTGATGTTTGGGTCACGTGCCTCCATTCATGAAGCCGCTCGGTGCAACCGCCCCGAGCCTTAAAGGGGTGATAGCCAGCCCGATGGAGGGCTTTTTTTAAAGTAAATAATTGTCGGAGGAGAAATAAGGGGGAGCAGGGCTTGGCAAGGCGACTGGTGCGAGAGTAGTTTCCAGTGTGGGCTACGCTAGAGTTTCGGTGTTTGCTACCTTGCTGCTGAAATCTCCATCCTCCGCTTCGGACGCAAACTATAGACAAGTTTATCCCTGTGGAATCTGGACAACAGAAATAAGATAAAGGCGAGATCCCCGTCCATGAGAGACTCATCGGGCGTGGTCGACATGAGAGGCAATGAGGTGCTACTAAAGACTTGAGGTGGCAGAATGTACTGCACCACTTCAGACTTCAGACTACAGCTTTTTATGTTCCTTCCCATAAAAAAAAAAGCATTTCAGTGCAAATAGAAAACTAGCACAGCAGGTTGTACGCCCCGCCCCGGCACTTCGCTTGCTGTGCTGTTTTTGGTTTTTTTTCCTGGTACATTTTTTATGCAGGGGAGCATTCAAAAATTAGATCCTGCACCAGCTTCAAGTGGCGCGATCTATTCTGCCTCCACGTTCATTCTCCTGTATGGAGGATACATGAGGCAGCACCTTTGCTGACATTAAAGAGATCTAATATGGTCTCTCTGCATAGGAGTCCTAGGAACCCTAATTAAGCTAGCAGCCGCTACAAATAAAAAAATGTATATTAAAAGAATATGTATGTAGAATACGTGTAATAACAAACACGATTTCAGGAGCAAGTGAATCCACCCCCGACCCATCGAACTAATTCCAAGGCAGAAGTTACTGAGTAAACAAGGAGCCAAGGAAGCGACTTTTCCGGTACTCCTATTCTGCCACTCTGAAGAAACGCTTTGAGAGGAAACAGCTAAGCACCTTTGTGTGGGGAGATGGATGCAGGGCTGATTCCAGACTGGGGATGGGCACAGTTCTCAGGGCTCCTCTATACCTCCTACCAAGCCCCACATGCCTATGTCCTCTCCCCCCACCCACTTGCAGGCTTCCCCACTGCCTATGGTCACAGTTGCCATGCCCTTTCCCTAATGGTGCTGAGCAGTGTGTGCAGCTGGCAGTGCCATGGCCACCAGAAGCACCTCTGCTGTGTGCACCACGACCTATATGTCCTTCCCCTGGCAGCACTGGGCATAGGGTTGCCAAACTCCAGGCGGGGGCTGCAGACTTCCTGGGATTACAGCTGATTCCCAAATGACAGAGATCAGTTCCCTTGGAGAAAATGGCTGCTTTGAAGGGTGGTCTTCATGGCACTGTACCCTGACGAGGCCCCTACTTACTAGGAAGTCTTCCAAACCATTCTGCCCATTGCTCTTTTAAGGCAGCACTGGCCTTAAAAACAAAGATTATTCACCCAGCAGTTGTGCAACTAGCCCCAGTTAACAGAGCCCTCTAGTTCCAGTCTCCCTGCTGCCATCGGCGTAAAATTCGTGGGGGACTACTACAACTACAATAATAATAATAATAGGAGGTGGTGGCGGCAGCTTGGAACTGGAAGATGACTGTGCAGAAAGGCCCTTACTGCCTTTCAGTGCATCCTTGGACTGTCAAAGGGATTTTCCCCCTTCCTGACCCAGATCCTTGACAGACAAATCCTTGATTCTTGGCAGAGACCCACATCTCAAAATACTCCCAGACTCAGTGACCTATAATGAGCCATGGGTTGGATTTCTAGCAAGTTCCGAATTGCCTGGACTAGATTAGGACCAGTTTTCTCTAGAGGTAATATGTGCCATTTATCGACAGCTCAGAATTAACAGGGGTACTCAGGGAACAAAAGCCCTGATGGCTGTTGGCTTCTCAGTGTTAAAACTAGAAATCCATTGTCTACTGCAGCTGTCACTTGGAACCTGCTAGCTGTCCAACAAATTGCACAGGCTAATTAGACTGCTTATATAGTACATGGGAGGCTTACAGGGCTTGAGGAGCAGAGGATGATGAGCTTTAGGATTTCTCGCCTTCTTTCATCTTCCTGAGCAGCCAGCCAGACCCATACTTCAGAACATGTTTTTAATGCAGTCCCCCTTCCCCCTTAGGAATTCTTCCCCTCCGCACACTTCTGTTCTGTCTTTGCTGTGTCTACACTTTCTCAAAACTGTGGAAATTGCAGGGAGCAGCGAGGTCTGGGCTGAAAATGCTGATGCAGGGAAGCAGCGCTCACAGCTGTTTCTGGCTTAGGTGCCTGGGACAAGAATGCTGCAGCATGCTCCCAGCCCAAAGAAGCACTGCAGAAACAACTGTGGCAAAGGATTAGGAGAAACAGGCCCCAGGCCCCCTTTCTTTCTCTGGAATTCAAACACATCCCACCCCCACCCCCCAGTGTCATAAGCTGTATAAGCCATAACCAGGCATGAAAACTTGGTTTTAGCAGGGAAGTCATTGGTGTGAATGTGCTTCAAACACTTCCTTGGAGGTACAGTTACTGCTGAACCAGGGAGCTTGTTTGTGTAAAGAGTCTCCCTGCATAGTTCAGCTGATTTTGATAGCTGTTTACAGATATTCACTTTTGGCTGATGACACCAGTGAAACCCTATTTTTTCAGGGTTAGAATGGCTGAAAATTGTCTGAACCAAATTAATACTATTTCAGCTAACTATGTAGTTAGGAGCCTGCCATAGTTTCTGGAACATACCTCTGACTGACTACATGACAAAGACAGATTGGGAGCAATTGCCATTTAATTCTTTGTATAACTGGGCACTACACCATGAGTTCTCTGAGGTGTAGGTCTTTTTTTCAAAGTAATTGCTCGGGGAATGGAAGACTGGATAACAGTTGTATGTATTCTGAATAATTTCCTCCCCCCACAACTGCAGGGCATAAGCAGAATTTTCAGTTTCCCTAGTACCTTCAGTCTATATGTGGTATGTTATTTTGCAGTGGGGGTGCTTCATTGTGGGATTCATGTTGTACTAAAGTGTGGAAAGCATAGTGAGTGCCTGTGGTTCTGAAGGAGGTTGTGGTGCTTATATAACAGTATTGGTATTTTGTTGACACATTCACCCTCCCTGAAGAGTTAAAATAATTGTGCTCATGCCATGACATTAACCCCCTCATGGATCACTGCGTTGTCATGGCGAGGGGGCTTGCGTGGTTCGATGAGGCTGTGGGCTATGCCGTGGAGGGCCACCCAAGACGGACAGGCCACAGCAGAGAACTCAGACCAAGCGTGATCCCCTGGAGAAGGAAATGGCAACCCACTCCAGTATCTTTGCCAAGAAAACCCCATGGACAGTATCAAAAGGCTAAAAGATATGACGCCGGAAGATGAGCCCCTCAGGTCGGAAGGTGTCCAATATGCTACTGAGGAAGAGCAGAGGGCAAGTACAAATAACCCCAGAAAGAGTGAAGCGCCTGGGCCAAAGCCGAAAGGACACTCAGCTGTGGACGTGTCTGAAGGTGAAAGGAAAGTCCGATGCTGCAAAAAACAATACTGCATAGGAACCTGGAATGTAAGATCTATGAATCAAGGTAAACTTGACGTGGTCAAAAATGAGATGGCAAGACTGAACATCGATATATTAGGAATCAGTGGACTAAAGTGGACAGGAATGGGCGAATTTAACTCAGAAGACCATTATATCTACTACTGTGGCCAGGAATCTCGTAGAAAAAATGGTGTGGCCTTTATAGTCAACAAGAGAGTGCAAAAGTCAGTACTGGGATACAATCTCAAAAATGACAGAATGATTTCGGTCCGATTCCAAGGCAAACCATTCGACAACACAGTAATCCAAGTCTATGCCCCAACCACTGATGCAGAAGAGGCTGAAGTGGACCGGTTCTATGAAGACCTACAACACCTCATAGAACTAACACCAAAAAATGATGTCCTCATCATCATAGGGGACTGGAATGCTAAAGTAGGAAGTCAAAAGGTAACTGGAATAACAGACAAGTTTGGCCTTGGAAAGCAAAATGAAGCAGGGCAAAGGTTAACAGAGTTTTGTCAAGAGAACACACTGGTCATAGCGAACACCCTTTTCCAACAACCTAAGAGGCGACTCTACACATGGACATCACCAGATGGGCAACACCGAAATCAGATTGACTATATAATTTGCAGTCAAAGATGGAGAAGCTCTATCCAGTCAGTAAAAACAAGACCTGGAGCTGACTGTGGTTCAGATCATGAGCTACTCATTGCAAAATTCAGACTTAAACTGAAGAAAATTGGGAAAACCACGAGGCCATTCAGGTTTGACCTAGATCGCATCCCTGATGAATATACAGTAGAGGTGAAGAATAGATTCAAGGGTCTGGATTTGATAGATAGAGTGCCTGAAGAACTATGGACAGAGGTTCGTGACATCGTACAGGAGGCAGCAATCACCACCATCCCAAAGAAAAAGAAATGTAAGAAAGCAAAGTGGCTTTCTGATGAGGCTTTACAAATAGCAGAGGAAAGAAGGAAAGCGAAAGGCAAAGGCGAAAAGGAAAGATTTACCCAACTGAACGCAGATTTCCAGAGAACAGCAAGGAGAGATAAGGAGGCCTTCCTGAATGAACAGTGCAAAGTAATAGAAGAAAACAATAGAATGGGAAGGACTAGAGATCTCTTCAAGAAAATTGGAGAAATCAAGGGAGCGTTCCATGCAAAGCTGGCCATGATAAAGGACAAAAACGGTAGGGACCTAACAGAAGCAGAAGAGA